CGCCAGAGAGTAGTATTAGGGTAATGAAGTAGTCTGTCACAAGCGATTTGGGCTTGATGAGTAATATAGGTAGCAAAACACCTCCTGTTAGAATGTCTGACACAGCGAGTGACAATACCAACCAGTTTGTGTAGGTTCGTAGAGTCTTGTTAAAACAAACCAGAGCGCAAACGGAACAATTTGCCACCACGATAACAACCGAGAGAATACCAAGAGAAACAGAAACGTAAATCTCCTTCGATGGCTCGGCCATGTTTGTTGCTTGGTTTAACCGTCTCAAGTCATTAGTTGAGAGTGGTTAAATTGAACCATTGATCTTGCCTTGTTCTTAATACATTTAGAAGTGTTTCTTTATCCTAAAACCAGCAGACTTAATGTGGCTCAAGACAGTTTTCAGCGTTTAGATTTTGATGGGTCGTTATAACCACTTTTTATCTCTTGAGGCCAATATCAATATTAATTTCACTTCGCGGAGCGAAGTTGTAAGTGCCGCTCGAGTTTTTCTGTTGCGATCGTAGCTACCATATGGAAACCAGCCTTAAAATTGCTATCTAGTCGAACTTAGCTTTCTTCTGTCATAAAATTGTTTTCTCTGTCAAAGTTTTTTTCAAGAGAACGTGAACCGCAATGGCGAGTTTGCAGTTTGAATACGTATTGAGCTGCAAATCTTATTTCTGACACATGGTAGCTGTGAAATTCGTAGATAAATAACGATAATAACGATAATAACGAGTTAATGTAAAATAAAAGAGTTATGGTGGGAAAGAATTTCCTCGCCGTGAACGTCCATGTTTTTGTAAATTCCGCTGACCACTGCATAAAGCCTTCGCGTATTTCCTCGTGGAACCCTTCGGTCCCTTCGCGGCTGACAATGTGGACAATGAAAATGTCAAAAGCTGCTAATGGATCTTTCGCGTTTGGAGTCCCACAAGCTCTGGAAATTTTAAAACAACAACAGCAACAAAATGTTTTGTATCGGCATTAAATAATAAATTGAAGAAAACGACAACGATTTGGCCCACAACAAACGTGAAAGATTTAAACCGCCGCAAAGTATTGATGATAAAGATTATCAATTTGCATTACTTTTTCAGGAATCAGCGAAGAAAATAGAAATTGTCAAGCAAGTACAGAGTATTGTCATTAATAGTGAAAGGTTAGTTTGCTCTCAGGGAAGGAAGGAAGGCTTCTGGAAGAGTGAGAAGAAGGGTGGGAGGGAAGGAGGGAGGGAGGGAAGGGGCTAGAGGGAGGAAGCGGAGATAGAGGGGAAGTGAGGGGTGGAGAGGGAGGATGGGATTGAGTAAGAGACGGTGGGAGGGGGAGAGAAAAGAGAGAGAGATGAGAAGAGAAACTGCAGTTTTAACAAATCAATGAATGCTATTCTTCACACATTTTTTGATCGTAGGTAATGTCCATCGTCATTACTGATTGGCCATGAAAGTTTCTCGGCACTCCCCCATCCAATCTTCCTCTCTTCCTTGAATGCCACGTCACTTTGTATCAACTTTTCAATAACTCTCATGTTTCACCACGAGCTCGTCGTGCGCTGTGTGAACTTTATTAAGAGCTGCGATACTCAGTTGCATTGCACAGCCAAGGCACAATCCTGTTTAATGTTGTATGTACACTGCTAACAAAACTTTCCTGTTCAGGGTTGCTTCCTTTCAAGATAACGTCACCGATCATTTTCTGTTACTTCAGGGAAACGTTAAAATTAAAATTTATTTTCTTCTAAGAAATGTTCTGTTTAGTTGT